AAAGTATTAAGTTTTCAGGGTTTAAAAAGCTTCTATGACTGTAGTCCATGACACCATGTTCTTATAAGGCATTTCGTGAAATAGCAAACGAGCTTGTTCAAGGTACCCGCATTGGGCAAATGCTTCAACTAAAGCAACTACGTCAAACTCTGGCATAGAATTTTGCAAGCATCAATATTTCCAGTAGATGAATATACTTGAAGCATCGTGGTCCAAGAATCAGTCTGGCATCTCATAAAAAAATCGACAAGTCTGTGAGTAGGCTGCCAGCATGGCATTCCACGTCATCGGCATCGACCAACTCAGCATGACGTATGCCCGCATATGGCCGTGAATCTCACGTGAACACACTCACCTCGGGCATCTTGCCGTGGCAGCACTGAGATTCCCAGAGTGGACGAACATTGCCAGGATCGCGTTACATGAAACCATGCAAGAGGACATGTCTTATTTGCTCGGATCTTGAGGACACACACGATTGTGTTCTTCTTCTTGCGATCAAGCAGCATGAAAAGAACCAAAATAAGTATTTTCTTTGAGTGCTCAGGATTCTTTGCTTCTTTTCTTCTTTGTGTGATCGAGCAAGCTGCGCGAGATCATTCAATGACTGTAGCATTACGCTAGAGAATGATGCTACCACTACAAAGAGAATGGAATGCCCCTAGTACAAAGATCCCTTGACCATGCAGGTCCAGTCTTTTCCAGCATAGAGTTGAAGATGCTTCTGGGTTCTTCAAGATGCCACCATTGGGCATATGTCTGAATGAACGAGCCTGTGAGAGGAAGATTCAGACCAGTCTCTCCAATACGGACTCACCTAGAGTTTATCGGGATATCCTTTCAGAGGCGACGTCTGATGACATATCATGGTTGTTGCTTCACCTCAAGCGGCCTCTTGTCAACGGTGTGTGGATTTCGCATCCTTGAAGATAAAGCACCTCTTCAGGGAAACACTTGCCCGCTCAAAGCTGGAAGACTTGGTGATATTTCTACAGTCCACTGGTGAGAATTTCGAACCACTTTGAGCTCATGGTAACTTCTGAGTTTAGAATTAGTCCTTAGGTTCTATAATATATATACACACTCCAAAAGTTCACAGGACAGAATTTCTCCACTTGGATCATAAGAAAACATTTTTACCAATGCTTAAGTCTATACCAAAATATTATCCTCTTTCTTTATCACTCTTTGGACTATTAGCGCATAGTTATGGATTTGGTGCATATGGGCATTTTTTTCCACAATAGCTTGATGATCCAAACTTAACAATTGGTTCATTATCAAAAAATTTACTACATTTACAACAATTAAAGCATGGAGAAAAAGGAATAATTATAAAAGGGCAAAAGTTGCATAATGATTTATTAGTCATTAACTTCAAGACAAAATAGTCCAAATACTTTGAATTTAGCTTCAAATTTAAAAGTGCAAGCACTCTTTCACAAGTCACAACTATTAATGCACCAAATCCTTTATTACAACTTGATAATTGTAGATTGAAAAAAAAATCAATAGTTATTTACATATTTATCCCTACTTGTCTCATATTGTCAAGGAATTTTCAAAACAATAGCTGAACACATGGGTTATGGTTTATGGTTTAAACGTCAATGGTTTATGAGGGTTTATAAAACCTACTATACACCATTTTATATATGTACATAAGTTATTTCAAATAATATTTAAATATAAATAAGGAAACCAGATTATTTTAATTCTAAACTCGCAAGTTACCTGTTGTGAGCTCATGAGCTCAAAGTGGTTCAGGCTTCTGTCTGTGCTCAAAGATGTATTTCCGTAGAGCGCCCAACTCGGGATCAGTGGACCGTAGAAATATCACCATGTCTTCCAGCTTTGTGCGGGCAAGTGTTTCCGTGAAGAGGTGCTCTATCTTCAAGGATGCGAAATCCAGCAAATATCTGGCACCGTCGACAAGAGGCCGCTTGAAATGAAGCAACAACCATGATATGTCATCAGACGTCGCCTCTGAAAGGATAGCCCGGTAAACTTTAGGTAAGTCCGTATTGGAGAGACTGGTCTGAATCTTCCTTTCACAGGCTCCGTCATTCAGATCGCCAACCTCTGCGTCACGAAGTAGACGAGGAATCCCACCGTACCAGTCGTAGTACAAGTCAGCTGCTTTGATGCGTGCATCCAACCGATCTGCCTCATCCAGAAGAGCCACCCGTGGAGACGACTGTTTCGAATACATCTTCCACCGGCGCTCACTCGGCTCGCTCGTCTTCAGCAGTCTATCAGCTTCTTCCCGCATTTCCTTGCTCTCAAGCTTCCACAGGCCTAGCAACGCCTCAAACTCGTCCTTATCCCAAGGGTGGACGAAGAACTTGCTTTTGACCCCTATTGGCTTCGCGCTCTTGATGTTTCTACGACCCGGGGATGGCGCTACCAATATCCTTTTGCCCAGAGGATCTCCACTCTCAATTTTCTGGTCGATGAGGTGAACCACACATCGCTGCAATCGACTCAAGGGGTACTCCGTCTTCTCATGGATGGATACCTGGCCTTCGGACGTGAATTCCCAGATAAAGTCCGCGGACTGGTAGACGACGACGAAGCTGGTGTTCTCAATGGTCATCTCAATTCCGAACCGGATGAGGAAGTACCAGAGGAATGCCGACTTTCCAACGCCAGGATTCCCGTTGAGGCGTCCTAACCAATCCATAGACACTGCAGCTTCTATGGCCGAGTAGAGATTATCGAAATCCTTGCGCACGTACAGCCTTGTAATGCCTCGAGGTCCTCTCAGGGTTCCATATTCCGCAGGCACACTCAAATCTATGAACTTGCCAGCGGCGTATACTTCTGGCTGTTGGTTCAGCACCCCTCCCCACCACGCGCTAAGCGCCGCCCCGGTTTCGCTCCTAAACTTCCCATCAGTTCGCATACCCATTCGAGCCCTAATTGGATCTAGGTTAGATGTTCTCCTTTTATTTATACGTTTCGCCTTTTTATGGTGTAAAATATTCTGACCTAGATCCATTGGTGGAAGATGCGTTTCCACGGCTGGCTCTTCTGTTGGATGCACGTATCAAAGCAGCTGGCTTGTACTGCGACTGGTACGGTGGGATTCCTCGTCTACTTCGTGAAGCAGAGGTTGGCGATCTGAATGACCGAGCCTGTGAGAGGAATGTTCTGCAATACGGAAGTCTATCGGGCTATCCTTTCCGCGGCGACGTCTGACGACATATCGTGGTTGCTGCTTCACTTCAAGCGGCCTCTTGTCAAGGGTGCCAGATACTTGCTGGATTTTGCATCCTCCAAGATTAAGTATCTCTTCACAGAAACGCTCGTCAGAACAAAACAGGAAGACTTGAGGACACTTGTACAGTCCACTGATCCCGAGCTTGGTGCTCTACGGGGATATGTCATTGAGCAGGAAGTTGTCCGGCTAGTGCTAGACAGCAATTTGGCTGCCGTCACCTTGGTGAGTGTACTGGTTTTATGTTTTCCTCCCTTTCATCACAAGTGTTTTGCAGACTGATAACAAGCACTGTAGTCAGTGCCAAGCGCGCGTCATGGAAGAAGGAGCAAACCGTGGGTTGATTGTTTGTAGACAATGCCGAAAAATCAGGAGTGTGCTCGTTGTCCACTACCTGTTCCTTCCTTGTGGAACTTTGAATCTTTCGAAGGAGAGACAATCCATGAAGGCATAAGCACTGGCGGTCTTAGGCTAAGGTATTACAACGGTGATTTGAAAACTGCGCTCCCGGCTGCAGGTAAGGTGTGAGATTTTCTGCTTACAATATTCGCATTCCTTCCCATTTGCTGCAGGTCGCAATGCTAAAGACTTTGTGTGGAGGCCAATAAATAAAAGCAACGCTGCTTTCGATTTTGCGATCCCCCCTCGAAGAGTTGCCTGTAGAAAACAATACGTACCGCTGCCGGGGATCCATGAGGTCCTTGTTGTACTCGTTGTTCCATGCGTCCAGAGCAGCAACACCTTCCTCCACGGCCTCCCGTGGCACCGGGTGCTCGCTGGCAACTGTGGCTTGGCCAAGAACCCTCAATCACTCATTGATTCATTTTAGGGAGTATATCTTGGCGTTCTACTTAGCTCGAGGCAACTTCGAATGTTTCGGGTACCAGAGCTACCGGGACAAGCATCGGCATGTTTGCAACAAAGCCGTGAAACGTTGCAAATTGCTCGTTTTAAACGTCACACTTACTTTTGAGTGTGTTATAGGAATTATCCAAGTCAAGATTTTGATCGAAACCTACGAGTTGCTTCAGTTAGCACATCCAGTTGCGGGCTCCGTGGATAAATTGATCGACCTTGAGTACGACGAGCAGTATGACCTCCATAAAATGACGGTTCGGGAACTCAAGGATTTGGCGAAGTCTTGGGGTCTTAAAGGCTATTCCTCCCTCAAGAAGGATGCATTGGTCGAGGCATTAAATGCTTGGGAGGAGCCACAAGTGCTTGAAAGCCGAGAGTACGAGAGCAAGTCGTACCAAGAAATGTATGGAGATAGAGTTGTCGTTTGATGAAACCTTATATTTTTCTTCATCTCTCTCTTTGATCATCTCTGCCGTGCACGATCCACCAAACTATAGAAGGTTTAGAAAATGAATCTTAAGAATGTTTGGCTTATCCTTTCAGCCATTGTCTCTGCATTATGCCCAGACTGGGAATATGCCTGGATCACGTAATGCGATCCTGTTCGTCCACTCTGCTGCCGCCAAAGAGTTCTTCGATAAGATGCCCGAGGTGAGCATCTCGTCTTGGAATTCTGTCTGGACTTGGAACGCTGGAGAAATCTGAGCGCATCGTCGCTATGTTCGTTCTCGACGCAGGCACTGATCATGATGTTCCACGAGGTGTTAAAGACATCTACACGGCCACACTTCCCATGCATTTGAACTTGGCATCGCGATCGCGGGTTCTAACGCCGCTGCTCTCTTTTCCTCTAACGAGATCTCTCGCGACACAGCACTCCCGCAGAGCTGGGAGTGGCGTTCCACGAAATCTTCCAGTGACGAACAAGCGATCAAGCGTTGGTTCATACACGATGGGATTTTTACAAAGGATTTTTCTCTCTTTCACTGCCAGCTCCTCGTCTTCGTTCTCGCGGCGACGATCCAACACAAGCAAGCTCCAATGGCGCTGGCGGCGCTGAGAGCCGCGAATCCTCCTCGAAAGCAATGACCCCCATGGCACACCAATTCCCGGCCAGCCTCGCGATCATAGAAGTAGCCCACCACCCTGGACGAGAGAAGATAATGGCCGACTGGATTCCCCACGAAGAGAGCGTTGAACACCACGCCCAGCCTCCTCTCTCCAAACATCTCGCAGGCTATGGCGGCGGTGAGCCCCCAGTTCAGTCCATCGCTCGCCGCTCCCAGCACCGCCGCGAAGATCGTCGCTCCAGGGACCGGGACCGCCGCCAGCGCCGTGCCGATCGAGTTGGAGGCCATCCCCAGCGCCAGAAACGTGGATTTGGGGGTGCCAAATCGCTCCAGGCAGTAGTCCGCGGCCAGGCCGGCGGCGATCCTCGCGAAGCAGCTACTCACGCAGAAGAGCGACACGAAAACGGGGCCTATCTTCTGCGAGTAGCCGAGCGAGATCGCGAGCTGGGTGAGATTGGTGGAGACTGCATTGGCGGCGCCGAATCCAAACACCAGCGCAACGAACAGTAGCCAGAAATCCACGCTGGTGGCGACCTGGGCAAGCGTGTGATCGTCGCCAAGTCTAGGTGGTGGTGATGTTCTTCCTGTCTCGTGATCTTTGGTCGCCCCTGTTTCTAGCAGAGCCTCTGTTCTTCCAGCTGGTTCCTTCTCGTCGTGATCTAGCAGGGCCTCCCTCGCAGATCCTGCTACCTTGCGATCTAGCACTCCCCTTCGCGATATCAGCTGTTCCTCACGATCCAGCAAAGTTGCATTCCAATCTTTGTCTTGGAATCCCGCCACCAACGCGATCACAGCCAGTAGCAGCAGCAAGAGCACGATGATCGAGCAGACAATCACCTGTGTACCACGAGTGAATCGCATGAACACCTCAAGAACACTCACGACCAGGAGCCACGCTGCTAGCGCCACCAGGCATCCAGACATGCCGTACATGACACCGTACGACGCTGGCGGAGACCCCGCCGTACGAGAGATGGGCCTTGCCGCGAGAGCCAATGGAAGCATGAGAGGGATCATCCACGAGAGCATCAACGGGAGCCCATCGCCGCTACCACCGCCGCCACCAATCGCGTAGAACGCCTGGAGGAAGATCGATCCGCCCAACACATGGTAGCCCTTGACCAATCCCAGCACCGCGCCCGTGTCGCGGCCGAAATTCCTGGCGCTCGCCAGCACCACCGGCGTCTGGACCGACGCCTGGGAGATCCCGATCAGGAGCTCGTAGAGACAGAGCTGCCACACCGCGGCGCCATGGATCCGGTGCGTGATGGTGAGCCAGATCATGAGGAGCGCCAAGCTCTGGCCGGCAGCTCCGGCGGCGAGCAGCAGCCATGGCGGGACTAGGGCGTAGAGAAGTCCTGGGATGATCCCGAGCGCGCTGCCGACGCCCGAGAAGGTGACGATCGCCGTCAGGGTCTTTTGATCCAGCGCCATGGCGATCTTCATCGCCTGGGAGTAGCCGCTGAAAGTGTAGATCGAGGAATTCAACGCCATGATCCAGCAGCTGGCCGCCAGCGCGATCCATCGGCTGTTCCTGAGATCCCGGAGCCCATATTCCATCGCAAATAACTCCTATCGATCAACTCATCTGTCACGATCGCTGCTACAATGCTCGCGAGGAAGAAGACGAACAGGCGTGGATCCCGTGGTAGAATCCCTTGTTCCTCCTTGCGAGGGCCGCGAATCCCACACCAGCAATGGCGCAGCAAATCGCCACGGCCAGGAACGATGATCCGAAGCACCGCGATCCCACGCACAGCAATCCCTGCTCGTTCTGGGCATCGTAGATCGATCCCACCAGCAGCACCGAGAGGAGGAGCGCGCCGATCGGGCACGCGAAGGTGATGATGTTGAGAATGGAGCTGAAGCTCGCGAGGCCGAAGAGATCCGAGGCGGTGGCGATGGCGAGGCACCAGAACGCGCCATCCGCGATGCCCGAGAGGATCGCCACGAAGAAGAGAGCGCCGTGGACGGCAATGCTGCCCAGGAGCAAGCTTGCTACCTGGATCGCGGCTGTGAGGATCAAAAACACTGGCCTTGGTGTGCCATAAACCCTAAGAGCGTGCTCCGAGAGAATGCCCGAGCCGAGTCTTCCCACACAGCTGCCGATCGAGAAGAGGGAGACGCAAATGGTGATCGTCCGCGAGGAGTAGCCGAGGGAGTGGCCGAATTGCGAGAGATTGCTGGTCACCACGCTCGTGGAGCCGGTGCCGAGAAGAACTCCGAGGAAGAGCAGCCAGAAATCCAGCGTTGCAATCGCCTCGAGCGTCGTGAATTCGCCCCCAATCTGCCCGTGGATCGCGAATCCTTGCTCTTGGATCACGGAGGATTCTTCGCTGGATTCTAGAATTCTTGGCAGCAAACCTTCGATTTTGGATTCGTGCTCCTCGTTCTTTCGATCGGGCTTGACTAGCACGTAGATCGGCGAGAGGAGTATGAGACACATTCCAAGATTGACGAGCACGATCTGGATCCGGTCGAGCGTGATGACACTCTCGACGATCACGGCCGCGAGCAAGAAGGCTGCGAGGAAGATCAAGCTCGCCGCGAGAAGCATCGACTTCCAAGAAATCGAGGATGGGGCCTGGAAAGGGGCAGGGATTTTGCGAGAGATGGCGAGGATTGGGAGCGCGGAGAGGAGTGGCAGCAGCCACGCGAGCATCAGAGGCATGCATTCTTCGCGGCCATGGCAGACGAGAAGGAAGAACTGGACCAAGATCGAGGCGCTCAATCCGACGAGGCCCTTGAGGTAGCCAAGAACGAACCCTCGCGCGCCGGGGAAGATCCTCACGCCGCTCACGAGCGCGGCCGTCTGGATGTACGTCTGTGCGAATCCGACGAGCAATTGGAAGAGGGAGAGGTGCCAGAGGGAGAAGAGGGAGGGATTCTTGATCGCGAGCCAGATGAGGAAGTAGCCGCAGCTGCTGTGAGCAATTCCCAGGCCGACGATCGCCGGCGGAGGAATGCGATCGTAGAGAAGCGCCGGGCCGATTCCACTGGAGCTTCCCAGGGTATTGAAGAATGCAAGCGTGTCGAGGCTCTTTTGATCGAGCGCGAGCGCGAGTTTGAGCGCCTGGGAGTAGGATCCGAAGAGATAGGAGGAGCCATTGAGAGATTGGAGCCATCCAGTGGCAATGAGACCCAGCCACGCCATTTGGAGCCAAGAACCCTAGTTTTGAAGAACCCTAAAATAATCTCTCGCTCGCCATCGCCATGGCGGCAGTGGAGGATCGTATCGAGGCGGAGATTGTCGCGGAGAATTCTGCGAATGGAGCTGAGGGATTGATTGCCAAGGGTGTGGCGCCTGTGCAGAAGGAATTTCTGGTCTCGGCACAGGTGCGTTCTACCATTTCGGACAAGGACGCCGCCAAGATTTCCAGCGAGAAGAAGTCCAAGCGGAAGATAAGAAAAGAGCGAAAGCAGGTGCGATGTCTTCGTGTTCCTCGTATCTCTGATCGCCATTGTGTTGTGTCTGTGCTCTATCCAGGCTAGAAAGCTCGAGGTGTGCAATGCCGTGGTTAGAGCTGGTGATCCAAATGCCTGTCCATTTGGGGAGAACTGTAGATTTAGCCACGACTTGGAAGGCTACTTGGCACAGGTACGTCAATTGTGATTCGTTTCTTTGTTTCTCATCTCTTTGATTTTTGTTAAGAAACCGGAAGATCTTCCTGGAGTTTGCCCGTCAGTGAGCTTGAATGTGCCTTGTCCTTATGGAGTAAGGTGTCGATTCTACGGAACTCACACAAAACAAGATCTGCCGAAGGAAAACCCCGAGGGTGCGATGGATGGAGACGAGGAAACATCGGGCGCTGGCGAGATCAATGTTCTCCGAAAGGATTTTCAGAAGTCACTCTGGAAGAAACTTGAGAGCTTTCCTAAAGCTGATAGCCAGCTACAAGCGATGGGTCTCAAAGTGAGTCTCTTCGTTTTCTATCTGCCGCGCTCAAAGCTTTTCTTCTTTCTGAACAGAACAAGGTTTATGGACCTAAGAAGGGTGCTACAACGGAAGGAGAAAATGGTGGAGCTGAAACGCATGACGAAAACAATGACGTATCGGATGACGCAGTTCCGCCTTTGAAGAAGCCAAAGCTTGTGGATCCTGTGGATGATGCTAAAGAACAAGGAGATGGCTGCAAGCTAAACAGCAGGGAGAAGAAGAAAATCGACTTGAAAGGCAAGCTTTATCTTGCCCCTCTGACGACAGTCGGGAATCTTCCGTTTCGGAGGCTGTGTAAGAAGCTCGGGGCCGACGTTACCTGTGGAGAGATGGCGATGTGTACAAACCTTCTTCAGGTAATTTTGATGTGTCTTGAACTTGCTAAAACTAAGTTGTTCCAGGGCCACGCATCCGAGTGGGCTCTTTTGAGGCGCCACCCTGTTGAAGACTGTTTTGGCGTCCAGATTTGTGGCTCTTATGCTGATTCTCTGACGAAGACGGTCGAGCTGATCGAAAGAGAATGCACTGTTGACTTCATCGACATAAACCTTGGCTGTCCCATAGATATCGTCGTCAAGAAAGGAGCTGGGTCCTGCCTTCTCACAAAGCCGACCAGGCTGGAGCAGATCGTGAGAGCTACTGCGTCGATCATGGAAAAGCCTTTGACACTCAAGGTAATCTTTTTTCGGTTTGTCTTTCCGCCTTTGAGCGTTGATCGCTTTCCATTCTCGCAGATGCGTACAGGCTATTTCGAGGGAAAAAATTGTGCTCACTCGATGATCTCTGAGTTGAGCAACTGGGGAGTCTCGGCAGTCACGGTTCACGGGAGAACTCGACAGCAGCGTTACAGCAAGCTCGCGGACTGGGTGTATATCTACGACTGTGCAAAGCGTGCCCCTGATGACTTGCAAGTTCTCGGCAATGGCGACATTTTCTCGTATAGCGACTGGAACGAGCACATGTTACCCGACCTAAACCTCTCGTCGTGTATGCTTGCGAGAGGAGCGCTCATCAAGGTACGCAAACTGATCAAGTAAGCGTCTTCGAATTTCGAATTTTTTTTGCATTGCAGCCGTGGCTTTTGACGGAGATCAAGGAACAAAGGCACTGGGATATCAGTTCCAACGAAAGGCTCGATCTGTTGCGTGATTATACGCAATTTGGATTGGAACACTGGGGCTCTGACTCCAAAGGTATGTGTTCTTGGTTTCATTAGCTACAGCGAAGTTAAACGTGTTCTTCAGGCGTGGAAACGACTCGAAAGTTTCTTTTGGAGTGGCTGAGCTACTTACACAGATACATACCGGTGGGACTCCTGGAAGTTATCCCACAAAGGCTAAACTGGCGACCTCCGCGCTACGTTGGTCGAAACGATCTCGAGACGCTCATGGCATCGGACAGTGCTGCAGACTGGGTACGCAAAGCTCATACTTGATCTCTTTTCTTCGCAAAACTCATATTTGCTTTGACCGATCTCTTTTCTTTCTTTCGCAGGTCCGCATTAGCGAGATGCTCCTTGGTCCCGCTCCAGAGGGATTTGTCTTCACTCCCAAGCACAAGTCGAGTGCTTACGACAAGGCCGAGAATGGTTAAGCCGATCTCGCTGAATTTTTTTTGACGGGACAAAAAGATACCTTTTTGTTCTTGCGAGCTAGGAGGAACTTCAAACTGCTAGGAAACTTTTTCGTTCTTTCTTGCGAAGAGCTAGGAGGAACTTAAGAGGTAACACTTCCGTTTAGAACGCTTGCAATACACAAAAACAAAAGGGGTGAATTCTCCTTCCTTGCATCGATGAATCAGTCCTCCTCGTCGGCCGCGTTCTCGGCGATGTTGAAGTATCGGAGCTCGTAGACGCTGCGGTCAGTGTTGGACGCGATCACTCGCAGCCAATCCCTCACGTTGTGCTTCTTGAGGTATTTCTTGGTCAAGTATTTCAAGTACCTGGCACAAAACCCATTGAGATCTTCGTAGCAGAGAAAAAGAGAGAATTTGATCACCTCTTGGAGAATGCGTTCTCGGATGTGACGCTGATCTTGTTGCGCTCCCTGGTGATGGTCACAGTATCGCCCAGGACACCCGTTTTGCCCCCTACCTTGATCCGGTCCTGGAGGAACTTCTCGAAAGAGGCGATCTCCATGATCTTGTCCTCCACGGGCTTGCCGCAGTCGATCGTGAAGGTCGCCTTCTTCTTCCCCTTGGATGCCGCTCCCGCCGCGCCCTTCTTCGTCGCGGGCGCCATCGCTACACGCACAACCACAGCCGCCGTAAAGCCCTAGCCCTAAATCTCGGAAAACCTAAAGTGGTGCCCTAAAAGTCAAAGTAAAATGCGCGAAAAAGTAATAAGAGGATCTGACGTGTCTTCCCTCGCAAGCATTGAGAATTAGGGTTCTTGCGAGTGAGCTAGGCGATGGATCTCGCGAAGACGAGAGGGCGGGTCGTGACGCTCATCACGGCCTTCATCGTTCTCACGTTCCTTGGTAATCCCCATCTCACATTGCACGAATTTCTTAGGCGCGCGACTGATTGATCGCGTTTTTTCTTCTACAGCCGAGAAATCCCGGCAGATTGTCGGTGAGGAGCGATCGTCGCAATCCGGGAAGTTCTCCTGGATGGACTGCTTCGATCTAGGCAGCGGCACTCTGGCGTGCTCGATCAAGGAGGGCGTCAAGCTCTACACGTACAACATCCGCTCCGGGATCGTGGAGAAATCCCGGCACAAGGCCTACGAGATCGCGCTCGAGGACGCACTCCACGAGGGCCTGTCGATCCAGGAGGCGTCCAGGGCGGCGGCGGTGGCCGGGAAGAAGGCCGCGAAGATTTCCTCGCGCAAGGCGAGGAGGATCACGGGGCCGGTCATAGCGGCGGCGTGGGATTTCTTCGAGGCGATCTACTACGGCGGAGGGCCGATCGAGGCGACGATGCGCGGCGCTGGGACGATGTGTGGGGCGTGGATGGGAGGGATCGAGGGGGAAAGGAAGCTCGGGCGGATCGGCTATCTCATTGGCAGCCATCTGGGGAATTGGATTGGCGGGAGAGTTGGATTGATGCTCTATGACATTGGCAACGCTGCGTGGTTTCTCAAGGAGCAAGCCACTGCGATGCTTGGTGGAGGGATCACGGTAGAGGAGGAGAGTGCCGTGGAAGTGGAGCTGTGACGATGATCCACGAATCTAGGTAGAGTTTTCGCGTGATCGATCGGGAGTGCCACCGAGAAAGAGGAAAGAACGATTTGGATGATTGTTTATAAAGTGTTTTATAGTGGAGAGGTTGATTACCTACAGAACGATGCGATGGGCTCTCTTCGGTCGTGCGCGCTCGCGGTGGTGGATGGAAGCCGGGATTTCAAGCATGGAGGAGCTAGCGCTGGCGGCGCCGCTGCGAGGCGAGTGATGATCGGCGGGATTGCGAGGAGGAATGGAGCTTCTTCTTCGTCGGCTAGGGTTGTGGCTATGGCGGGCGTGGTCGTGGCGGAGCCAGTGCTGTGCATTGGCAGAACGCTTGTCTTCTACGCGTTCTTGCAGCTCGGGCTTGCGGGACGGGCAGCCTCCGGTAAGATCAATGCGGCATTGCGGCAGTTCGATCGAGAAATACCCTGATCGATTGATTGTCACAGACGAGGAGAATGGATGGGAAGCGTGGCTCCAGCGCGTTCTTTTTGGAACTTCAGGTATACATTTCTTTGATTTCCCTCTCTTGGGAGATTTTAGGGTTCTTCCTCCGGTGCCAGGGAAGCGGAAGAACGAGAGGAACGAACAAGTGAGATTCCGGACGAAGTGGCACGCCAGCACCAAGGGCACGCTCGTCCGGCGCTACCGCGTCCCCACCGTCGCGCAGGGCCGGAAGCTCCTCACGGCCATCTCCTCCCTGCTCTCCAGCGACGATTCCTTCCGCGATGCGAGCTCCCACAAGGTACTGCCATCGTTCTTTCGATCTCCCGCTCGATATTTCGATCAATTCCGATCGAAATATCGCTGAATCGCGCTGTCTTCTTCGCTAGGGATGCCAGATCCGCCGGGAGAATGCGCACGCCGAGTCCGTGTGCTGCCACAATGTGAGGGCTCTCCTGGACCAGCTCCCGACGCCGCATCTGGTGGTGGAAATCACGGCATTCCCTCCGGCTCCAACGATCACCGAGATCCAGTACGCCAAGGCCGAGAAGATCGAGCAGGTTCTCAGGAAGGGCGTCTCGATCTGACGAACGAGGGAATGTAAAACTAGCGCACGGTATATTCGCGTGCTCGAGTGGCGGCATATTCGCGTGACCGCCGTACTCCACAATGTCAGTACTGTTCCTTTTACCTTTTTTTTTCTGCTCACTGTGTTGTATTAATGTGCAGACATTTTCTTTTGGCAACGCAGCAACAGTTTCGATCGATCGATGCGAGATTCGTCCTGCGGTAGAACCCCACGAGGATAAGAAGGAAGGACACTTTTTTCTCTTTAAAAGATCTTTTTTCTACTGAGGAACAGCTAGGCTCCTCAGGTAATGGTTTTCATTTGTCTCGCGATTGGTGCGAAGGAATGTGATGTTGCTGTGTTGTAGGTGAGGGAAGTGAGCGAGAAATCGGGAGAGTGGGGCGGCTCATTTAATCCACTGGACCGTCCCTCTGACTTGGGTCTTTGCTGGATTTGCGACCCACGATGGATTTTTGGAGCTGTTGGATTTGAGCTGCTGCTCCTGTCTCGATCCGTGGCTGGTAAGACTGAGGCTCAGATTTTTCTTTTCTGCTGGACGAACTTTGGAGCAACGTTGTTGTTGTTTTGCAGCCAGGCTAGAATCCGCCCCTCTTGGAGAAGCTGTTGTGTCTGGATGCGATGGAGAGCGTCAAGGCTGGCGAGAGCTACGACTCCGACGAGTGGAGCAGCAGCCACGGGGAGGAGGAGGATCACCAGTCTGTTGGAATCAAGTGCGACAATGGGTGGGACGAAGAAGAGGCTGAAAAATCAGAATGCACGTCCCAGTCTTCGTGGGACGAGGAAGAAGACGAGCAGGACGAGGTGCAGAGCTTCTTGGAAGAGACTCCAGAGTTCCGTGCTAAAGTTCAGTACCAAGTCAGGGTGGTGGCTCTTATCCCCGGATTCGAGAACTCGGGTCGCAAGGTCTCTACGTTTCCACACTTTTACAAGCTTCGTTTTGGGAAGAGTTTACTGGAGAAGACTGGATTCAGCTCTGCTGATCTCCTGTGCAAGTCGATGCCGCACGTAATCCAGCGACAGGCTCTGGACGAGCACGGCCAAGTTCTGTTGGTGGAATCGCCCAAGAACACGAGGATTGTTGCTGGTATAAGGTCGGGGCTGAGGAGGATTGTGTTCCACGTACTGAGGCAGTATCCCAAAGGGGTGAGCGCTGGCATTCTCGACGAGGAATGCTCCAAGTTGCTGGCCCGGCCTCTTTCCGTTGTTCTGAGCGAGCTCACATATGACACTCCCAACGTAGAGTGCATGGTGCGAGACATGGCAGACATTGCCAGCTTCAGGCAGCTTTCTACTCCAGGAGGATCAAGAGTCTTTCTGTCGAGCGAGGCTGAAGATCCCACGCTTACCGACGGGATTTTAGTCGGCGTTCCCCGGTTGCATCACTCGAGTAAGTTTCAGCTCTTTGTGTGTTCTGCCAACTTAACTTTGAAATGTTTAGGCAAGGAGAATGGCGATTCGCATGTCAATGAAGCTGTCGCTGAGATAAACGACATTTTGCAAGCGAGGTTCAAGATGATCGTTTTGCTGGCACTCCATAGTCGGGGCTTGGAGATAAACAGGTTGCAAAAGACGTTCGCAGAGCTGTACACAGAAAATCTCGACTGTAGAGTTCTGGGATTCAGCCACATCGAGGAGTTGCTTGGTGCTTGGACGGATATCGCGCTCGTGCAAGAAGAGACACGCAAGGTTTTTCTACGTCCGTCAGAGAAGAACAGCCGGCTGCTAAAGACTTTGAGCTCCGGGCTCCGTTTGGCCGTCTTCTCAACGTTGCTGAAATGCTATCCTGATGGTCTGGAGCCGGCACAGGTGGTAAGCCACCTCCAGCAGTCTCAGATTTTGGAAGCGTATGGAGAAGAGCTGGAGCTGCATCAGTTTTGTTTTGTGGTCGACGACATGATGGACTTCATTAGATTTGGCTCTCAGGAGGACGGGACTCTCGTTCTCAAGCTCAGAGATTCCAGCTTCCCTGTGGTGGAACTTCCAGAGTGCAGCCAAGCCGATGACGACGAGATTGCAAAGCTTTGCTTGGAAGGAGAGGAGAGCGCCGCCAGTCCTAAGGTGGTGCAACTCGCGGCCTTGTACCCTCCAGTGGTGGAAGTGGAAAATGACGACGATAATGGTGACGGGGAAATGGAGACTAGCGGTGAAGCTCTGGAGCAGCAGCTTCGACTCATTCTCGGATCCCCAGCTCACGCCGAAAGCGGTTTGCTGTTACCAGATCTCGTCTCAGTCTACAAGGAAAGAAGCGGACGATCTCTCAACGCAACTCAGGTGAAGAGCTTCGCCTCTAGAACGCCGGGCCTGCTGCGGATGAGCAACGATCGCGTGTGGCTCATCGACAGCCCGAGAAACTCGAGGATCGTGTGGGTGACAAGAGCAGGATTAAGGCAGGTTCTCTACTGGGCGCTGGTGAAGAATCCCGGTGGCGTTTGGAGCGAGCTGCTGGAAGGCTGGTTCACGGATTTCACAGGCTACAGTCTGGAAGCTATTCTTCGCAGGCACGGGTACCGAGCGTCCAGCAAAGAGCCACTTCTGCCGGTTTGCGAGTTCCTGCACGACATGGGCGATCTTTGCAAGGGCCACAGCAACAGGACGGTGGAGTTTTTCACCCTGGCTGGCGGACGTGTGGAGGATCCGGTGGAGGGCGATAGCAGGCTCTTGGGATTGAGCTCCGGAGAGATCGAGTACAATCCAGTGAAGCTGTGCTTGGAGCTTGACAAGGCGGTGCGTGGCCGACTTGGTGCCGGAGAGAAAGAGGAAGACGGACAACACAGCGAGATTTCCATGGAGCAAGAGCCATTCCCGGAAGAAAGCGAAGAAGAAGAAGAGGAAGAAGAAGAAGAGGTGGAGGAGAAGAGTAATGGCTATGATCCTCCCAAGGCTTACGCAACACCTCTTGTTGTGCCATCGTAGCAGCCACATTGGGAGTTTTCTCTTCTGGATATCTTCTGTCAAGCGATGGAAGATGTTCATCGCAAGCGTCTAAAAAATAATCACTTACCAAGTGAAAGAACTCTAAATGCTGCAATGGCTACGATGCTTTCTATGGGCGCCAAGGCTCCACTTTCAAGTATTTTCTTATCGATGGAGTTCTACGATCTCTTTCAACTCTACACATGCGTTTATATAGAATACGAGAGAAGGAAATCCAAAGGATGAGGAAGCGCGTGGAGGAGGTGCAAATTGGTACGAGTATCACGTAATCATTAAAATATGTAATTCTAGTGGTTATGACACTGAACTCTGAATCCGGTAACCCGAGTTTCGCCGAAAGTTTGTTTTGTATATTCTCAATGAAAAGGTTCTAAGGTATTGATAACAAAGTTGGCAAATATATTAGAATTATCCGGTATCATCACCAGAATTGTCCGTGCATACAATAAGTTAAGAGGTTTCGCCGAGATTTGAACTCGGGTTACTGGATTCAGAGTCCAGTGTCATCACCACTAGACCACGAAACCATTACGTATTTAAATCACCTCATTTGGTTATTCTAATTCTCACGGAAAGTCCAAGTGAAAGCCAAGTCTTCGATGTCGGTTTCATCATCCCGGCTGCCCTTTGGAATTTATACTGAAGCAAAGCCGAGGTGGATTGGAACAACTACAGAAAGGGAAAACAAAGAAAAAAAATAACAAAAGAAGAATCACGAAAGTCATACAAAGAAGACGAGGAATGGCAGCGAACACAACTTCTTTTCCTTCTTGACCGTCAGCGTCTTCCCTCCAGTGTCCCCGACTTATCCAGGCCAGATCTCTCGATCCACCGCGAGCCTCCAGGATCAAAGCGAAAGGGGAGAGAATGGCGATGAGTAGCAGCACCAGCAGTACCAGGGGACGGCGGCGATGGTGGAAGCGCATCTTCTCCGACAAATGGTTCACGCTCGTCGCCTCCTTCTTCGTCATGTCGTGCGCCGGCGCGCTCTACAGCTTCGGGATCTACTCGCAGCGCCTCAAGACGGCCCTCAACTACGACCAGCAAACCGTGAGCACCATCGGCTTCTTCAAGGACCTGGGCGCCAACATCGGCATCCTGGCCGGCATCCTCTACGACGTCTCGGGCTCCTGGCTCGTCCTCCTCCTCGCCGCCATCTTCAACGTCTTCGGCTACATGATGGCCTGGGCCTCCATCACCTCCCACCTCCCTCACCCCCCTCGGGTGTGGCACCTCTGCCTCTATCTCTGGGTCGGGGCCAGCTCCGGGGCCTTTGCCAGCACCGCCGTCATCGTCAGCTGCGTCAAGAACTTCCCCCGGAGCCGCGGCATCGTCATCGGCCTGCTCAAAGGATTCGTCGGCCTCTCCGGCGCGATGCTCACGCAGATCTATCGGACCCTCTACAGTGGCAGCGACCCCGCCTCGTTCATGCTCGTCGTTGCCTGGTTCCCCACCTTCGTCTTCCTGCTCTTCATGTTTGTCATCCGGCCTCTTCCGCATTCCACTGCTCCCATTTCTTCCGGTGATGGTGATGCGGAGGAGAAGCGACTGGAGATGAGGAACTTCTACGTCTTCCTTGCAATGGCGATCCTGTTAGCGATCTTCCTCATGACCGTCATCGTTGTCCAGCATCTAGTGGACGTCTCCGCCAGCGCGAACCAGGCGTTCATGGCAGTCATGATCCTCATTCTGGCGCTTCCGATCGTCGTTGCCGTGGAGTCCGTGAGGAAGAGTGGCCGCAACTCAAGTCCTGCCCCGGTTCCAGCTTCGGACGATCAACACCCGAGTGATCACGAGCAGCTCAACTCCTCTCCCAAGAGCAAGGTGGTGGAAGATCATACCGCCCCAATCCAAAACCAGCAGCACCACGAAGCCGATGACGAAGAGTCCGCGCGGAGACAGGAGGCGATCGATCCTCCATCAGTAACAGGCACTCCCCGTCTTCGAGTAAGTTGCTCTTCCTCAGCCAAGCAGTGTCTTCGAAAGTTGGCGGACGAGATCAGGCAAATGCCGCCGAGGGGAGAGGACCACACCGTTCTGCAAGCGCTGGTGAGCTTAGATCTGTGGATCGTCTTCTTTGCCACCACCGCAGGCCTGGGATCCGGCCTCATGGTGGTCGACAACTTGGGCCAGATGGGATCCTCTCTCGGCTACTCGCAGAGTAACATCGCCACCTTTGTCTCGCTCGTCAGCATCTGGAACTTCTTTGGCAGAGTTGGCTTTGGATTTGTGTCAGAGATCTTCCTCCAGAAACACGGAGCTCCCAGGCCGGTCTTCCTGGCTCTCGTTCTGGGAATTCTCGCGGTCGGCCACCTCTACCTGGCCTTCGCCTGGCCTGGAGCTTTCTACATCGGCTCCATTCTCGTCGGGATGTGCTTTGGAGCTCAAATGCCCGTCATGTTCGCTATCATCTCCGAGATCTTTGGCCTCAAATACTTCGGAACTTTGTACAACGTCGGGATCCTGGCCAGTCCTCTGGGAACTTATCTCCTCTCCGTCAAGACTGCCGGCCACCTCTACGACGTCGAGGCCGCAAAACAGCCGCAAAACGGAACATCCTCGTCGTCGTCGCATGATCTACTGTGCTATGGACCTCAGTGCTTCCGAAACAGTCTCCTCATCATGGCCGCCGTCTGCGTCTTCGGTTGCCTGATAAGTGTATTCCTAGCTTTCAGGACCAGGCATTACTATAGATCCATTCGTTCCGCGATGAAACAGAACCTGTAAGCCTCAACTATGACCGTAGCGGATTTCGGCTCTGTCTTCGAATATGTGATTTCCAGGCTGCCTGAATCCGTCTAGCTGCGTTGCTTCTGAAGTAGTGGGACTCGCTTCTGCACAAGCAGCTATGTAAAAGGGAATGCTGCGTTAAGATACTTACTTGAGAGCACTCAGGACCCTGGGATTGCGGATATAGCTTATGTAGTTTGCTACAACATACCGCAAATCCTTCTCCTCTAGGCTGAATGCTTCCACGCTACTTGAGCAACGAACAGTCCTCGTAGAGAAAGCCAAACCCCTTGTTGGAGCTGAACTATCCCTTCTGCTGTGCTCGCTATTTGATGTTTCTCCTGTAACAGACAAACATGAGTTCAAAAAGTCAATGACATTGTAAAATACTTACTGGTGTTTAACGCTTCGTTGAGGCACAGATGTAGTAGCTCCTCCCCACAAAAGTCGCCCGACACAAGCGTATGTGTATTACCATTCTTCCATACGCTGTCTAGAGTACCACGTACTACAAAGATCATGCGATGTATTGGAGCATCTGCTAAAAAAACTTCGCTGCCTTCAATGTACAACATCTCGTGAAGTCTTTGACAAATTGCATCGAGAACTTTGTCATCCATCACAGTAAACAGCCGAACCTGGTAAACATGAATTAATTCAGCAACAACACCAAAATGCTGAACACAAACCTTCGTCAAGAGCTCGAAGCACAAAAAGCGACGTATTTCTTTTTGCATATCTTCGGGCAAACGATCCAAGAGTTCCTCCTCATTCACACCTCTGGTCGATGCCCATTTCAATCTCACCGCCTGTCTCACGCGCCTGTGAGTACGCGTTAGGAAGGAAAAATAAGGACAGCAATACGACATACTTTCTTAAAACTACAGGTAATTCCCGTCGCCTCATCCATCTCTCAACATCATGTCGTCGTAGCTGCATCTCAAGGTGCCTGACAAAGATATCTGTTATGTAATTTTCGACAAAAACTGACATGCATACCTGCGTCCAAGGGACTGGAGAAAATTTTGCATGTTTCCAATAAGAAGTGCAAACAAAAGTAGTCCCAGACCAATAACACCGAAAGTAAAAAACACTTCACCAACAAAAAGGCTAGGCTGCAAGTTCCCACCGAGCGTACTAATTTGCTAAAAGATACAATGTGAGGAAACAAGAAAAATAGCAGTCATTCTTACCAAGAATCCCCAAAATAGCGAGTATACGTATTTGTGAATTGCACTGTCGTCCATGGCGACAGGAACTGCGATCGAATAGATGCCATAAGCGAAAGATGCATTCACCAGACATTTACTCGATGCATTTGAGGAATTAGTCCAGACCAGCCGGGCCCCTTGCTGCAGTGCCTGAATGTTGTGCCCATTTCCACAGTCAAGAAATTCTTTTCTGCAGACTGGCCTTTCAGCTCGACAAGTGTTTATCAGGCACTGATTTACACGCTGCAAATTATAGGCAACATCAGTACTATGAGACTATAACCCGTGTTTCTCAGTTACCTGTAGACCGAACAAGTACCAGCATGATCCCACCACATGACCCGCAAGCAGGTAGATGAACAGATTGATGGTGAAGTTGGCCCAAGCAGTTTCAAAGATGTAGCCGCCACTCTGAGAGCGACCAAACAGCAACGGCAAAAACCTGACCATCCT